ATATATTTTTTTTTTTTTTAGTTTTTTTTTTTGTTTTTTTAGTTTTTGTAAACAGTAACAACACTGGTTGAATTGAAACCAGACTCTATCTTGGGGAATATGAGGTGAAGCGGTTGTGAAGTCAGCCAAGACCTGCGGCTAAATTACAGCCAGTTTACAATAGTAATGACTATAGTGAATGTTATGTGCTCAGATGCTCTTGATTCTTGAGAAGATCTGGTGACATTAGAGTCATTTTTCATGTGTGATTCACAAGAGCGATTCACATGTGTTTTAATTCAAACAGAAGCCCCAGTGGTTCTCAGATCATTCATTATTCTGTCTGGATAAAGCTGGTTGGTTGAGCAACCTTACTGTATTAAAATACACATATACTGTATATTGGGTAAAATACATGCTTTTTAATTGCATTGAACCATTTTTATCAATGCTTTTTCTGTTATGTTAAAAAAAGTCACAAAACATAATAATAAAATATTCCCGTTTAAAATCATTGAATAATTTTCTCAATACGTTTAAAATATACTGAAAGTATAACCTATTTTCTCCAGCTTCATCTACCAGATTGTTGCACTGCATTGTGGGATTGTCTTTCTATGAAGGATACTTGCAATGTTGCCTTAAAAATGGACAAAAATGAGATTCCTTAGCATCAGGACTGCACTTATGAAGCTTTAAAATGCTGCAGCTTTGGAAAAAAGGGCTACTGAAAACCAAACTTAATTTTGAACCTGCTTAGATTTTTAGCAAACCAGCAGGACTAGACTGGCAGACCTGCTACAACCAGTTTAGTTAGAAGTTGTTTTTTTTCTGGATTTATCTCAGCTCTTTCAGACCGGCTCTGGCTTGGATGAGAAATGAATCCACGACCAACACTTCGGGCCAGAAATGAACCAGACATTACACTCACATGGCAAGTGACTGCATTAGATTCCAGCATGGTAAAGTCGTCACCGAAGGTTTCTGGGAAAGTGCTCTTAAATTTGACTTATTGAACAGGTGGCTCTTCTGACTCATCCGAGTCTCTAGATATGGCCCAGGTCCCTCTTTAGTGTTTTTTTCACCTGTTTTATGATCCAGCAGGTGAAAATCGCAAGTCTAATCACTTAATAAAGTAACAGCACACAAAAATAAAACTCATGACTGTGACATCCAAGCACATGAGAGGGCATAATTAGGACAAAAGTAAATATTGGGAAAAGGGGGACAAACTGTGGTTTTGATTAAGCTGAAAGTAGGATCAAATCTGTCAGATGGATGTTGTCTTCTCCTCATTACTCATGATATCATGATGTAAACAGGCCCAGACACTTCCGGTGTCATCAGCCAATCAGATCTCTGATCACCGTGGCGACGAAAAGGAAGAGAAACATCTCTGTAAGCATTTAAATTTAATGCATCACAGTGACATTAATAAATATGCTCCTTCTTTCACATGTGTCTTGAACTAAGGATTATGCCACTTGTCATTAATGGGTGGAGAGCAGGAGTCGGGTCCTTTTTCCAAAGCATTCCTTAAAAATATCTAGCCTCAGACATACTTTTTCCACATTGAGTCGTCTATTGTTTTTAAATGACAGTATTTTTAAGAGCTCATGCTACTCAGAGACGCACGTAAACAATGTAATAACTCTGCGCCCTCTGTTGGATGCCACACGCAAACACATCGCTAAAAGAAAGATGTATGTTGCTGTAATGTTACTGCAAATCCAAATCATGCATTACTCAATGGCTCCTTTTTCAGGACACAATGACTGTTTTATTCTTTCTAAGCAAATTAAGGCATGTAGCTACAAAAGGTTTGACTTTATTGTTACCGATTGCAAATATTTAATAAGTTACACTTATTTTTAAAGATTACACTCTAAAAAATGCTGGGTTAAATACAACCCAGTGCTGGGTAAAATAGGGACAAACCCAGCAATTGGGTTGTTTTGACCCAGCGGTTGGGCTACTACCCAGAAGGTTGGGTTAAACATTTAACCCAACCGCTGGGTCAAAACTTCATTTGGACAACTTTAAAGATGATTTTCTCAATATTTAGATTTTTTTGCACCCTCAGATTTCAGATTTTCAAATAGCTGTATCTCGTCCAAATATTGTAACAATAATATAACAAACCATGCATCAATGGAAAGCTTATTTATTCAGTTTTCAGATGATGTATAAATCTCAATTTTAAGAAACTGACCCTTATGACTGGTTTGTGATCCAGGGTCACATATAGTCTCATTGTTAAGCAATGTTTTTGGCACAAGTATGCATTTATTTCTATAAAATTAAAATCTTTTTATTGGTGTCCCCTGATTTCATGTCAGCCCTGTTACCCTCATCAAAAAAACCCTTGTGAAATAATGTAGGAGGTTTCATCATCTCTCAACCAGGATTCCTACACTTAAAACACAAGCATGTTTCTCTCTCACTTCTATAATGTTCTATTTTTGATGATTTATGAGGCTTGACTCAGGGGGGCCACCATGCAGTGTCAATACTGTTACCATTTTTAAAATGTAAATTTAAACAATTATTTATTACATTTAAAATAATCAATATCTACAACCTGTCAAACATGTCAAACCTGTTACTGACAGGCCTGTTACTTTTCAGGGTAACAGGTTTTGACATGTGGGTAACAGGGATGACATTATTTAAGTGTCACCCTGTATTTAATGATTGTCTGTGTGAAATGCAAACATGTTTAAAGGTCACCCTGGGAGTAATTTTGAGCTAATGCCTATATCATTCAGTGGCATATGAGTTACATTTTAGTTAGTGTTATTGTTATTGTTACTATTACTGTTGTTGTTAATGACTAGGATAGGATGGTCAGTCTCAATAAAACTCTCTTCCCCCCCGTAACTCATTGTCAATAATGCATCCATGTAAATTAAATTACAAACAAGAGCAGCAAGCTGACTGCAGACCTTCACCCCAGTCTTGTGATGTTCAAATAAAGTAAAAATCTTGGTCTGGTTTCAGATGATCACAGAAAGACCAAGATCTGATCATCTTCCTTGCCTAATAATTGAACCAGATCAGTATATTTGAAGTTCTGTGAGGGGACACAGACAAACAGATGGGCACATTATCTAATTACAATACTCTTACATTACATTATATCTCTTAGAAATGTAATGTGCTAAATCAACAATGAACTTGGCTTAAACTGGAAAATGGACTGTTTACTATTGTCATACAACTATGCTAAGTAAGTGCAAAACAATATAATGCATTTTAAAATGGTAAAACTGTACAGTATTATTTAAACAAATATGTGCAGTGTGCTGAAGAATGTGTGTCCTGTCATCCCTGTTACTCTGGTCAGTCCTGTGACTATGACGTCAATTCTGTTACTGTCATTCATTTCATAAAAAAAAATTAAAGTTGTATTTGAGACAGCCTTCCAGGTTTATATAACTATAACAACAGTATTAACTATATATTTTTTAGACAAAGCCCTTTTTTAACGTCTCTCTTGTAAAATAAAATATTTTTCTTAATTGACATGTGGTCACCCTCAAAACTTAGGATGTTCTTGGTCATCTGAATGACAAATATAAAAATATTTTTTTTAAATCCAAAATTTTAAACAATTTGTCACGAATCCGGTCCACGAACTTTCCTATTCATTGACTCTCGCACTACACACTGTTGCACATCACCCCGGACTACATTTCCCATCATGCATTGCACTGATTGCAAGAGCAGCAAGCTGACTGCAGACCTTCACCCCAGTCTTGTGATGTTCAAATAAAGTAAAAATCTTGGTCTGGTTTCAGATGATCACAGAAAGACCAAGATCTGATCATCTTCCTCGCCTAATAATTGAACCAGATCAGTATATTTGAAGTTCTGTGAGGGGACACAGACAAACAGATGGGCGCATTATCTAATTACAATACTCTTACATTACATTATATCTCTTAGAAATGTAATGTGCTAAATCAACAATGAACTTGACTTAAACTGGAAAATGGACTGTTTACTATTGTCATACAACTATGCTAAGTAAGTGCGAAACAATATAATGCATTTTAAAATGGTAAAACTGTACAGTATTATTTAAACAAATATGTGCAGTGTGCTGAAGAATGTGTGTCCTGTCATCCCTGTTACTCTGGTCAGTCCTGTGACTATGACGCCAATCCTGTTACTGTCATTCATTTCATTAAAAAAAATTAAAATTGTATTTGATACAGCCTTCCAGGTTTATATAACTATAACAACAGTATTAACTATATATTTTTTAGACAAAGCCCTTTTTTAATGTCTCTCTTGTAAAATAAAATATTTTTCTTAATTGACATGTGGTCACCCTCAAAACTTAGGATGTTCTTGGTATTTAAAATATTTTTTTTAAATCCAAAATTTTAAACAATTCCAGTGAAAAGAGGGACTACAATGCTGCTCATATATGTGCAAACTATCCCATAGTTCTAATTAACACTTGTGTCGGTAACAGGGTTGACAAAAATACCAAACCATGAGGTAGAAAAATAGTCATAAAATAATAAATGACATAGCCTGAGATGGCACAATACAATTTCTTGTCATTTTAAGGTGTCTTCATTTCATGGGTATTTAAAAAATGTTGATTAAACTTATTTTATTTTTTAATTTTTCCTAGTGGAAAAGGCACCGATTTCGTGGAATGACCTTTTTTTTATTATTTTGTGTTCCACAGAGAAAGAACAATTATTTATATGTTATATAATTAGATTAAATTATATATACTCTACGTTTTCAATTTGTATCTTATTCTTATTTTCCTGTCATATAAACTTTCATTCAAAAGTTGAAGATTTTTAATGGTTTTAAAGAAGTCTCTTCTGCTCATCAAGACTGCATTTATTTGATCAAAAATACAGTAAAAACAGTAATATTGTGAAATATTATTACAGTTTGAGATAACGGTTTTCTATTATAAAATACTTTAAAGTGTAATTTATTTCTGTGATCAAAGCTGAATTTCCAGCATCATTACACCAGACTTGACCTTCAGAAATCATTCTAATATGCCGATTTATTAGGTTTTAATTATACTGTATATTGTTTTTTTCCCCATTTTTAAATATAAGCTAGTTAAAATCGTTTAAAAATCTACGATTGCATTAAGTCAACACTGCATAAAACATTACGAAGAATGTTCAAAGAATATATCTTAGATATGATATTGTGTCACTTGTTTTAAGTATAAACTAGTTAAAAAGTTAAAATATTTGATTGCATGAAGAAAACACTGCATAAGTTATTTAAAACATTAATATATATTTAATAGAAGATGGTTTTCAAAGTAGGCAAAAACAGGTCAATTCAAGATATAATGAAAAAGATGTAATGGAGAAAAAAAAGTGTTGTCGTCTTGTTTTAAAGATTTTTAGATGTTTTAATTGGAAAACTATTTTTTTTTGCATTTGCCAAAACAAGAAGTGATGAAGACATTGGAGCGCAAATGTGAAAAGAAAAACCATGAAAATAAAACAATCTGGAATATGGATTAGCAGACGTCAGACCACTATAAACTTTTAAATATAGACTTTGTGGGTGTGATTCAGCTAATAATGTTCACAGCCAAAAACTGCTGCAATTAAACTGCGTCAAATGAACTCACCCAAACCTCAAAATGAATCAGATGTGCTAAAATAACATCTAACGGCCACATCAAACAGAAGTGAAGTCAGTCTGAAACATGCGGTCATCTGTGTCTTCATTACAGTAAATCCCAGGACAGGAAGGGCGTCATGGAGCAAAGCTACGCAAAGCTTGGCATATATTTCGTTCATCCGGGCCAGACGGCATGAAGACCAGACCAGACCAGATGAAGAAGGAGTTGTGTTTGCCAGATCAGGTCTGTTTCACAATTAACCCTGAAAATGCATGTGTGCATGTTTACGAATGCGTGTGTGTAGGTGTGTGCACGTGTTTGACAGACGTGTCTGTTTGTGTGGAATATGGAATCCATTATGAACAGGATGTTCCTGTCCAGGTTAAACATTTTCAACTGTGTTTTATGAAGAAGTTGTGAGCGCAGGACGTTTTTAGTGGTTTTCAGCATATTGCTATGCAGATGCTAGGATAGTCTGGCTGGTTGCTAGGTGTTTTCATTACGTTTGGCATCATTGTGTCTCTGTTATATTTTGTCTTATTATTAGTGTTTTTTTTATATCAAGTGAATGAATCTGACATGAGCGTAAACGCATTATGAAATAATTAATAAATGTATTTAAATGTATAAAAATATGATATTATGATTTAATGTATTTACATTATGCGATTATATCATGAATAAAAAGATTGTGTTTTCATAATGAATGTATATTTTGGGAGATTCTTATTTTAATAATCATTTTTTATTTTACATTTGTTTATTTATTTATTACTCTTCTCAAACTTAGTCATGAGGAGTTTTCATTTAAAAAAAATTTTATTCACAAAATACGTTTAATTCCACTTTTACCTGCAGTGGCTGGTGTTTCATCTCATCTCATATCACTTTTGATTTGTGTCCTGATGACATTTACTTGGACATTTATTCATTTAGCAGAGGCTTTTACGCAAAGCTTTCATTTCAGTCCTTGATTAGATATTTACTTTAAACGAGGAAGATGTTATAAACATTATACTGTGTATGAAAACTCTCATTTTGAGCTTGAGATCAGAGCTGATTTCAGCACGACAGTCAGACACTGCATGTGTTATATAATCACAAACTTAGTCATGAGGAGTTTTCATTTAAAAAAAATTTTATTCACAAAATACGTTTAATTCCACTTTTACCTGCAGTGGCTGGTGTTTCATCTCATCTCATATCACTTTTGATTTGTGTCCTGATGACATTTACTTGGACATTTATTCATTTAGCAGAGGCTTTTACGCAAAGCTTTCATTTCAGTCCTTGATTAGATATTTACTTTAAACGAGGAAGATGTTATAAACATTATACTGTGTATGAAAACTCTCATCACTGCAGATCAGAGCTGATTTCAGCACGACAGTCAGACACTGCATGTGTTATATAATCACAAGAGAGAGAGAGAGACAGAGAGAGACAGAGAGAGAGAGAGAGAGAGAGAGAGAGAGAGAGAGAGAGAGAGAGAGAGAGAGAGAGAGAGAGAGAGAGAGAGAGAGAGAGAGGGAGAGGGAGGGGGAGAGAGAGAGAGAGAGAGAGAGAGAGAGAGAGAGAGAGGAAGGAGTCGTGTGTGTTTGTGTTTGACTCACACACTCAACAGCAGCAGCAGCAGCAGCAGATGTGTGTCATTTACTCTCTCTGTCTCTCTCTTCATTACTTCAGCAGCAGAAGATCATTTGGAGCTCAAAAAGAGCAGATCTTCATGACCAAAGTTAAGGTAAGAAGACTGACATGAGAGTTTGAATGAAGATGCTGGATAGAAATGGTCAGGAACTAGTTGAGTCTATGGCTGAGAGCAGGATTCCAAGAGAAAATCCTGGAAATTAATTTAAAAATAAAAATTTTTATAATGAATAAATGTTTTGCACAATTATTTTATGAATAAAAAGATTATATTATAATCTAATTGTGTTTTGAGATCATATTATGAATAAAAAGCTAATGTTTTTGTTATCTTATTTTTATATTGAATATGTTTTCAGTCTCATATTTTAATAGTACGTTTTTTTCATGAGTAAAAAGATTATAGTATGATCTAATATAAATATATTATGAGATTACAGTATATTATGGATAAAAATAAAAATAAAAATTTTACTGCTCAATGAGATTATATTTTATGACCATATTTTATAATGAATATATTTGTTCTAATTATGCTAGAAATGCAAATGTTTTTATTTACTGCACGATATCACCAGTTAAATCCTTATTATTGACAAATTATACACAATATTATTAAAAAAAAACAAACAAAGCTTTGATATTTGACTTCATTTTGTTATATGCAATGCAAAATAATATTCTTATCTTGTTTTGTAGTGAAAAATATTTAACCACCAACATTTGTATTGTTTTAACCATACAGCATATTTTATTATATTAATGCTTAAAACAAAAACTATTTACTAATGGGGTAAAAATAATATTAATAACCTGAATTCAAGTCTTTTTGCTTAGTAAATGCATCATGTTTTAAACACATTTTACTAGTAAGCGCAAAAATACTGTTTTTGCAAGTATTCAAATGTGAAAACAAACAACTGGGGATATGTGTGTGAATCCTTTCTCTTTCCTCCGATGCTCTAGTGTCAATTACAACCACATAAGTGAGTTAAATAGTGACGGTTGTGCATTCAGTGGTGCTCGTGTTGTCTTTATATGAAGATATTAATATAATTCACTTCCCTTCTTGAGCAGAGGGTGCGGATGGATTCCCATTGTGTTTGAATCCCTGAAGATTCGGTCGAAGTGTGCGTGTGTTTGAGAGCAAAAGAAGGAAACACACGCGGGGCAAAGCAGGAATTGAGCTGAAACAATAGCAAACAATGAAAAGCAACTGACTGCAACACAAACCACAGGATGAGAGAATCACACAAGAGTGTTTTACTAGTTAGAGTCATTTTTGCATTTCCATGTGATCATATCACACTTTTTAGTGACTGTTAGTCAGGTTAGACTTATAAAGGAGCGAGAAACATTCATTCTGTGTTTCTCTTCATCTACTATATAGGGTGCATGAGGCTGAAGAAGATTATATGTGGCAGATCTTTCTTCTGCAAATCCTCCGACTCATTAAATGGAGTTACACAATCTTGGCCATCCGCGAATTCAACATCACCCGCTTGAGAGAGAGAGAGAGAGAGAGAGCGGCGCGAGGGAAAATAGGTCATGTTCTCTGTTTGATCGCTGACGTTAGAACATGTGGGATGTGGCAGCTGTCAAACTCTGCATCCCGTTAGAAACCTCAGAAGCATTCATTAAACAGAAACCGGCAAGAACTGTTCAACTGAGTGCTCATCATGGGGAAAAAAGAATCATTTTCTGGGATTAAACGTGAAAAGTGTGTCACTATAAATAGATGATGTGTGTTATTGGTGCTGCTGGTTTAGTCTGTGTAACCAGTGATCTCTCGCTGTGTTTGTTTGTAGATGTCGTGGCACTCCATGTACAAAAGCTCCAAGTTCCGGCATGTTTATGGAAAAGCGGGAAGCAGGGAACAGTGTTACGAGGGAATTCCCATCACTCACAGCGTCCATGACAACCACTTCTGTGCCGTTAACCCCAAATTCCTCGCCGTGGTCACCGAGAGCGCAGGAGGAGGCGCGTTCCTCGTTATCCCACTTCATAAGGTAGAGTTAACAACTGATCATTCACCTAACCATGCTCTGCTTACCAAAACAGCTGAAGCATAATCCTACTGTGTATACTCAAACTAACTAGTTTAACCAAGTATTCAACTAAGCATACCCATACTGTACATAGCAAAATAAACTAGATTAACTAGCTTAACAACTATGCAACTAAAGCGTAACAACTATACTGTTCATGCTAAAACTTACTAGTTTAACCATACAATCAATTAAAGTGTAGCTGTATCGTGCATATTAAAAGTAGTTACACCAACTATTTATCTGAAACATAACTATACTGTGCACATAAAAACAATTTCAACCATCCAATCAATTAAAACATATTCATACTGTTCATACTAAAAATAAACTAGTGTAACCATTCAAAGTGATATCAAATACCAATCAAATACTGTGCATATTAAAACTAGTTTAACCAATCAATTACAGCAAAGTCATAATGTGCATACTAAAACAAACTAGTTTAACCAATCAAAGTGAAATCATATTGTGCACATGAAAACAAGCTAGTTTAACCAGTTATTCAGTTGAAGCATAACCATACTGTGCATACTAAAATAAACGTCTTTAACTAGTTGAACGGTCATGGGACTAAAGCATAACCATACTGTGCAATACATACTCAAACAAACTAGTTTAACTAGATTAACCCACTATGAAACTGAAGCATAACCATACTGAGCATACTAAAACAATCTAGTTTAACCTTCCAATCAATTAAAGTGTAGCTGTATTGTGCATACTAAAACAAGTTCAACCATCCAACCAATTTAAGCATATTCATACTATTCATACTAAAAGTAACTAGTTTAACCAATCAGTTCAAATGAAATCATACTGTGCACACAGAAACAAACTAACTTTCCAAATGAAGCATAACCATACTGTGCACACTAAAACAAACTAGTTTAATCATCCTATCAGTTAAAATGTAGTTGTAGCCTGCATACTAAAACTAATTTAACCAACCAAGTGAAGCGTAATCATACTGTGTTCACAGTAAAAAAAAAGACCCAGACTAAAACAAACTAGCTTAACCAACTATACACCTGAAGCATACCTGTGCATAGCAAAAGACTAGTTCAGCCAACCAAGTGAAGCATAATCATACTGTGCATACTTAATCTAACCATCCAACCAATTATAACCATTCTGTAAATACTAAAATGAAGTAATTTGACCAACCATTTGAAGCATAAGTACTTTCTACATTCTAAATATAGTTTAACCATCAGATGCTTTCAAAAAATAAACTAATTTAACAAACCAATAATTTAAAGCTTAGTCATACTGTCCAAAAACAAACTAATTTAACCCGATAAGGGAAGCCAAATCTTACTGTGCATGCTTAAACTAGTATGACCAACCAACCTAATGCAGCATAACCATACTTTAAATGCTAAAATGAAGTAATTTAACCAACCAACTGGAGCATAATCATTTTGCACCTACTAGAACTAGAACTAAAACTGGTTTAACTATCCAATTAACTACAGAATAACCGTTCTCTATATACTGAAACTAGTTCAATCAACCAGTGGGAGCATAACCATTCAGTATGCAAAAGTACTAGTTTATCCATCCATCCAATGAAAGCATATCTGTACTATGCACACTAAAACAAACCATTAGAGACAGTAGGAATCCATAAGCGTGTGTGTTCAGACATGTGTTTAGCGTTTGGAGGATGTATTGATATCAGTGTCTCTGGGAGTGAGAGATGGAGAAACGTGTGACTGGTACAGACGCTCAATCAGCTCTCTGTTGGACTTCTGATAATAGTTAGTTCAGTCCTCAAGTGCACACACTCTACTGAGTCAAAACCACATCAGAAATGTGTTTTATGAAACTTAAGAGAGCGTAGTGAATCAAATGATTTACTGTTAGCAAATGAATACTAGTTTAGGTAATGTGGCTGCTTAGATTTCTGTGGAACCCGAAATAATAGTTTGTAGTCCCACCTTCTGGTAGAAAAAAAAGAATTTAAATAGAAAGAGAGAGAGAAATAAAAAGACTATTGAACTATTATTGTAGGGTGACAAAAAATACAGTTTAGTTAACATAGTGGGGCACAAATGGGGTAAGTTGTCAGTTGCACAGTATTCTCAAAAAAGTTGAGAAGAATACCTTATTTGTAAAAATGCAAGACCATGCCATTGTCACAGTTCGTTGTGGCAAGGGAGAATGCAGGAGTCTCAAACTTCACTTGAATAGAGTTTAATACTGAAAATGCAGGGGTTTAATACATACACCTCAGGAGCAAAATCAAACAACTAGTAACAAAGTTGACCGGACCAGGAATGAAGGAACAAACAGGAACTAATATACATAGGATCATTAACAAAACAGGTGCATAGAATAATCAATAAACTCAACAAGAACAGGAAAATGACCATAAAAGGAAACTCAGGAACAAGGACAGGGGTAAAACACGGAAAAACAAGTGACATTACCACAACACTGACATTACCCCCCTCCCGATAGACGTATCCCGCGCCGTAACCTATCCACCGGGGAGGGGGGGGTGGGCGCCCTGGTATCTGACGGAGGTACCAGAGGCCTCCAGGGCGGATACGGGAGCTCAGGGGGCCATGGCAGGACAGGCAGTTCAAGGTGCCATGGCGGATCAGGGAGCTCGGGGTGCCACGGAGGAGCAGGTAGTCCAGGAGGGCATGGCGGAATAGGGAACTCAGGAGGCCATGGCGGTGCAGGCAGTTCAGGAGGCCATGGCAGAGCAGCCGCCGTGGCCCCAGCCCCCGCCCCGGCCTCTATGGCTGGAGCCCCCCAAAATACTTGGAGAGGATAACGGGCTCCAAGGTCCCTCCCTAAGGACGATCGTGGAGCTTCGGAGGATTCAGGGGTGTTTGGGGCTGGGCAGGCGGTTAAAATTCTTAATAATTTTTAATACAATAGTTTTAGTTTTTCATTCTTTTTTTTATATTTATATTTTATCTTTATTTAAATCATCTCACTTTAACTAATATATAAAGTTCAAAATTTTACAGCATATAAAACCTACTGTATGTGACAACTTGCCCCGACCTCACATTAATGATCACTGTTATTTTAATTGTTTTATTTAGTTGACAGGGACATTGTACATTAATAAAACATTCCTGTAAATGTGTCAACCGTAGTCCCTGGACAAGATGTTACAAGTCACCCTAAAATAAAATTTTATTAAAAATACATAATAGAAAATGTAATAATTACATAGTACAAATCATACAGTAGTCTATAAAAAACAATAGGATGAAATAAAGACAATGCAAACAAGATACAAACAATAATAAGATAGCTAGCAAATATAAAAGTCTAGTGTTGACAAATCTGAGTAGTAATTAACCAATTCTTCAATTGAACCCTAAATAAAGCATATGTGTCTAGATCTCGTATAGTTGTCGGAATAGTATTCCATTCTCGTGCAGCTTTGACAGAAAAAGCAGACTGACTAAAATGACTTTGTCTAAGCGATATGATACAGTCTCCTCTTAATGCAACTCTTGTAGAACGATAATCAGTTGTTCTAATACTAACTAACTGACCAAGAGGGGGAGAAGATAAATCATAAATATTTTTATACATCAAGCATACATTTGCATACTTAATCATGTTTTCCCAATTTAGCAAATTATATTTTTTCAGTATTAGACAATGATGATAACGTACCGATTTCTTGTCGAAGACTTTAAGTGTACATTTTTATAAGGACTCTAATGGTTTTAGAGTCACTGAAATCGCCTGAGACCAGGTGGTTAAACAGTAAGTCATGTGAGAAATAACCATAATATACATCTTAGCTGCCTCAAATGACATATAATCTCTAATAAACTTAAAATTATAGAGATTAAACTTAACCTGCTTACAAA